CACACACACACACACACACACACACACACACACAAACCATAGAAACAAACAATCTAAATTGACCCGAAAACCAAATTCAGAAGCCACCGTGAGAATTCTGCGTACCTGACAAAGTGCACGTACGTCAACCGAAGGCTGATAGAGAGAAAAGAAAGCCTTGCGGCCCCGGGGTGTCAAGTCAAGTGCACGCGAGGCAAATTATCCCGTTTTCATAACAATCTCAATTAGCAAGACATGATAATTACATGTCAACTTGAAGATAGGCGCAATCGAGGGGAACAGTGGCACTCTTTTGCCACCCACTCCAAGCCACTCAACCCCCCAAGGAGTGGAGATAGATTGTGTTTTCTGTCCTTTTCTCCACCTCGTAAGCTTACTTTTGCCTTGTATTTACTCCACATTCCCCCCAGTTTTGACGTAAATCTCCGTTGAAAGTACTAGATCTAAATTCCAGTCGTAAAAAAAGGAAGTTGGAGCAAAACAAAACAGGAATTCTTGGGAGTTAACGCAAGATAACGCTCAGCAGGCGACATGTGTGACTAATATTCTACGTCTCGATGATTGCTTTTACTTATAATTAAAGAAACATGCAATCTTACCTGGGTAAGTGAAGCTTGTTCTATAATAATAGACAAGGGCAAACTTCGTAATAATTTTAGGCTCAAAGAGTAGACTTTTAACAACCTCGATAGATGTGTCCATAACTCCCCAAAGTCGGAAATTGAAGTCAACACAATATAGCACTCAGCAGCCGACATGACTGTGTGACGTATGCTCTACGTCTCCATGATTGCTATATAATATGGGGTGCCCATTGTGGATGGGATCGGGTCGGGTCAGGTCGGGTCGGGGGTGATCGCTCCACTCGTTGCCTGAAAACAAACGCGTTTGTTTTTGAGGCGACGAGTCGGGCTCGATCGGCTTGGGTCACGATAGCCTCAGCTTTACCCCCTCAATCTGGTTAGCAAACCGCCCCGACCAGACCCGATCCCCCAATGGGAACCCCGCCTAACAGTAGGTATAGGCAAACTACGTCATAATTTTGCTCTTGAACAATAGACTTTTCAACAGCCGAGACAGATGGTGTCCATACTTCCCAAAAGTTGGACCTTGGAGTTAGTACAAGATAACATTCAACAGACGGCATGAGTGACTGATGACCAATGTTACAATGATTGCTGTAAAACAGGCATGGGCAAACTACGTTATAATTCTGGGTTCAAATAGAGAAGATTTTTCAACAGCCTCCACAGATGTTTACATAAGTCCCCAGAAGTCGGAAACTGAAGTTAAAACAAGATAGCACAAAGCTGGCGACATGTGTGACTGACTGGGGTTCCACGTCTCAACTGTGGCGTCGGTGGCCTAGTTGTTAGGCTCTCGGACTCGCAACCGTAAGGTCGAGGGTTCGAATCCCGTCAGGGACCCGACGTTGTGTCCTTGGGAAAGGCACTTTACACGAATTTTCCTCACTTCACCCAGGTGGGAATGGGTACCCGGCTATAGACAGCGAAAGATCTTGTCTGTTTGTTAGTGTTTGAGCGCTTAATCAACTGCTTGCACTGTATGCTTCCCGGGAAGCTGAGAATGTTTCTGAGTGTTCTATGGTCTGCTGGGGTGATAATATAGTGTAAAGCGCATAGAGCCTGCTGTTGAGCGGGGATATGCGCTATACAAATGCTATTTATTATTTATTATCATTATCGCTGTGTAGCAGGCATGGGAAAACTATGTAATAAAATTAGCCTCAATCTACGTGTCCAAAACTTCCAAAAGTCAGAAACTGACGTTGATACAAGTTAGGGTGGGTAAGATCTACATTTAGCAGGTGACAATGTGTGAGGAATGCTCGCTCTACTCTACGTCTCAATGATTGCTGTATTGCAGGCATCGGGGAAACAACGGCCCGCGGGCCAAATCCGGCATCCCGCGAAAAGTTTCAGTTTAGCCTGCGAGTCGACCCAGTAATTAATCATGAATGTGGCTCGCGGTGAGTTGATAATTAGTGTAAACAAAAATGTTTGTCTTGAAAATTAAAATCAATAGTTTCACGTCCAGCTGGAAGCAATACATCTTATATTATTCTATCTCATAAAATGCAAATGAGTGACTTGCTATAGTGTCAGTTTTAGAATCATTTTTAGAGCTTGGGTATTTCAACAAATTATTACCTCAGAATTACACAGTTTTATCTGACATTTTGGGCCGTGTTGAGTCACTAAGACCACGAGATCCGAAATCAGCTTGCTCTATCTGCTCTATCAAAATCATATGATTATTCTGAATCGTTATCAAGTTATTTTCAAAAAGCTTGACATATTGTGGATCTCAAAATCCTTGACATCAAATTTCTCAAAAGTAGGCACTGAGCAAAAAACCCAAAAAACTTTACAATTTTAAGGTAGCGAAATATCACAAAGTTTTCTTCTGTTTTGACCCGTGGGATATTCGAAATCGCTTCAAAATCCAGTCCCCAATTTGGACACGCTTGCCCATGCCTGCTGTACGAAGTCTCCTCCTCTCGAAAGATCTCACGTTTTTTATCGATGTAGGCTGCTAGGAGGACCTGACAGGCTTTCTGAAGTTCGTACTTGTTCCTGTTGTTGACGACGAGTGGCCATCTTGAACTCTGTTCTTCATGATGTGGACGAGATCAAGAACTCGAAGCAGATCCTGTTTCTTGTTAAGAGCGTCTTATAAGGACGAAGATTAGATCTATGTTATATTATGATATTATAATATTATTATAATAATTTATTATGTAGCAAAAAAAGTCTAAAAGAAGAATAGCGCTTGAAAGTCATAATGTTTAATCTACTGATCATTTGTTATGTTAGGGCAGATAAGCATAACACTTTCAGACATGAAAATGCGCTATCTGCTGCGAGGTGTGGTGGCGTTTGTGATCATTTCAAGTTGCTTGTTTTAATTTCCTTTCTTTTCCTTTCTTTACCATGCTCATTACTTGTAGTAGCTGAGATGGTCTATAACTTTTTTTCCTCCTTGGATGTCAAAGGTAATCATCAGTTCAGGATGAACGAACTTTTATCATTACTGCAACAACACAGAACCCAAAAAAACAAACAACAACAAACAAACAACAACAACCCCCCAAAAAAAACACCCAACCCCCCAAAAAAACCCCACAACAACAAACAAACACCCAACACACTCCCACGCCCGCGCGCAAATATTAACGTTTAGTTTCAAAAGACCACTCTGCTTGATCATGCCATAGAAGCAAAAAAACACCCCAAAGCAGCCAGAATCGCGATAATAGGTAATGAAGGTCAAAGGGTGAGACGTGGGGAAAGGTCTGAACAAGAAGTGAAAACGAACAAACTCATTAACCAGAGTGGCCCCAAGCAAGGAATAAAACTGCGAGAGAAGCCACTAGTCAGTGGACAAGGCGCACAGTTTCCACACCATATCAAGGAAACGACTTTTCCACATTTTTGGTGGTCATAACGTTCTTATTATTGCGGAGTCCCGTCCACTAATATTGTTAACCAATCGATATAGAACGTTGCGACAGGAATGCACACACACACACAGACACACACAGACACACACAGACACACACACACACACACACCACACACACACACA